ATGAAGTTCTTTCCTTATGTTCCTAGTACATTATCTTGGATCTGTAAGAAAATTGTTTTTACTGTTTAGGAATAGCTTTAAATTTTCAGGAGCAGCTCAGTGTGTATGTATAAACCACTTCAAGCATAACCTTGAGATGAAATCTTTGGTTCAGGAGTGCAGCTGTTGCTCTTCAGATGATATCAGATGAAATAATAACATTTATTGAACTTGCTGGTGAGCTAGCAGTCTGGGTAGGTCCCAGTTCCCGTAGGCAATGCTGTCATCCAGCTTGGGAATCTAATTGGGCTGGGATTCTAGTCCCAGGGATCCCAGGGAACAGGGGTGCAGCAAGTCTTGCTTTATTGCAAGTCAAGCCTATATGACTATAAAATAGTCACTTTGTGGAATGAGTGACCTTATTCTGGATCAGTATTTCTTCAGTATGCATTTTTGTTGGTGACTCATTGCTGAATCAGACTCCCTGTGAGTAGAAATCAGTCAGAGTAGGCCCCAGCTGACAAGTTCAGCAACAATCCCATGCTGATCTTTTGGGAGGACAGGATACAATGCTGTGAATCATGTACTGATTTAGCAGTAAGTATTCATTCTCTTGAATTGATTCTTCTCTTCCCCTCAGAAAGGCAGGTTGCTGAATTATGGAGGAGTTTACTGAGATGGTATCTTTAAGACATACAGGAATCAAATTTTGCTTGACTCCTTGGTAAGGGTAAATATGAGGAATTGTGTTTATAGCATAAAGTAGCTACCTCATTTAAGTTTGTTAGTTTTACTTCACCTAGAGCATCTAGACCTCGCTCTAGGAACATGCATAGGTGTGAACTGAGGTGTCAGAGGTTTGCAGAACAGTATAATGGGTCTCAGAGTCCCTTTTACCTGCTAGTTTTTGCTGAGTAAGAAAAGTGCTATTAACATGTCTTAAGACTGGGTTCTGCTTCGCCCTGGGACCATCCAGCTCCATTTTGGTGTTCATCCTTGGGCACTGCTGAGCTGTGCTGCTTGACTTGTCCCACCTATCGGGTGACCACAGGAGGCCTTGATTTCCAACAGCACCATTACTTTTTTGTGACAACACTGAAGAAATTGACTCATATTATTAGATTTTTATAGATTAACATGTCAAAATAAACAATTTATTTTGCACTGTTTGTTTTCTTGCAAGTTATTTTAATTCTTGACTACACTGTTAATACAGATTTTATAAAATAAGAGAATTTTTCCACTTCCTGTAATAGTGTAACATGAAGGGTAGGTCAGTCATCCATGTGGCCTTCCATCCATTTATCTCATTTTAAATGTGTGACTTTCAGGCATATCTGTATGTAATACTTCCTTCTGTAAACTGCAGCTACTGTAGTACTTTTAAGAAACTGTAATCTTGGCAGTGCCTAGTCTGTTAAGGGTTTTTGGCCCTTCAAAGTGGAATGCATAGACGAGTTTTGAAGGACAACTTGCCCATCATATTAAAACACTTCATTAAACCAAAGAGGTTCGAATGTGGAATTGCATTGCTTTCATTTCTTTATCTTAAAATGCCAGTTTTACTATGTAGGAAAAGTGAAGTGATTTGGGCACAGTAAGCAAATTTAGACTACTGTAGAATAACTCAACAGTTCAATGCACAAGAAGAAATTCTTCATTCTTGCTGTGGAAATAAGAAGATTCACTTAGTAGAAATATTGCTTGTTTGTGGAGTAAGCCATATAAATTCTGACAAGCTGTATCACTCACACTTGTATTCTGCAGTCTTCAGTCCCAGATGCTAATTTCTGTGAACTGTTTTGGATTGCTGTTGTTCATCTAGGTCTGTAATTGAAATAGAAGTGAACTGTAATTCTTCAGGATGACACGTGGAAAGTTTATAAGTAGATTGCCCTTCAGTTGGGTACAGTTCAGGACAGTGTATGTTAATGATAGTGGAAATTAAAATTACAGGTCATAGGAAGCTCGCTCATTTCCAGTAATGCACAGCACTCAGGACACGTATATTCAAGGCATTAGAAATAGCTATGCATGGAATTGTAAGGCTGTTGGAGACCATTCTTTTAGATGTATGAATGATTTCATATCTTGTTACATACAGCAGAGCAAGTAGTGTCGAAGAACAAAGCAGTTCCATTACAGATGATGGTTTCATCATTGTATCATTGCTGTTTGGATATAAGAATGTAATTTCTTGAAGTGTTTTCAAGATATTTTCTTGGCTAGTGGAAACTATTCTTGTTTTCCCTGTTGCTGGTATGGGAAAGCAGAAGCTCAGCTTATGTTGCTGAATGAAGGGCCTGGACTGAAAGCCGAATGCTGAGGATCAGGAGAAGCCTGCTGTCTGCCTTCTGCCTAATCCATTGTTCCTACTGCAAGCTCATCTGTTCAGTTGTTGAGGCTTCTTCTGAATAATAGAGGAGGCTTATTAAATGTGTTAATGTTAGAAGTGGATTTGACTTGAGACTTTTGGTTTTAACTGAAGCGTTTTTTCCTTTTAAAGATGATGTTGCAGTTCTCACCAAGTTCAAGCGGTCGCGGTCAGAAGGTACCACGCTAAGCAGCATTACACCTTCCTCCTTCCTGTGCATGTCCTCTACCATTACTCTCCTAATTTTTTTTATTCTTTTATTTATTACTGTTGTTTTTAATTCTAAAAGCCTCTTGGTTAAAACTGACTAGGCATCTCCATTCGTGGTATCTGTTGCAGTTCTGGGTTGTGGCTTCTTTACTCCTAGATATGTGTTTTCTTGTCTTGCTGCCTAGGAACCTGCTTCTATGTTTGTCAAGGAGTGAACATTTAATAATGTTGTATATCTCAGCTACTCTAGGTTCTGTATTCTCTTTTTGCCTTTTTGTATGCTGCACCAGCCTTAATTCAGTTTTATTCCCCTGGATTAGAAATACCAAGAGGATTTTTTCTCACAATTTGTGTAAGTTATTAGCTGAGCTAATAACCAAAAAAAGCATTTAATAGTAAAACTCTTAATCACATTCGTTCCTTGGGGTTAAGTTTTCCCAACAACAGAATTCATAATCCAGAGAAGACGATCATCTAGGCTGTTGTAGGCTATGGAGTTGGTTCAAGTCAGCAGCACAGGTAAATGGAATGTCACTGCTCCAGGGCCAAGGTGCCTGGCTGCTTCTGCTGTGGGGAGCTGTGTGATGTTGGGGCTTTCTGCTCCTGGGTTTGATGCCTTCAAACAAAGTTGCAGTAGCCAACTGCTTCCCAGTGCAATGGGCAAAGCGGGCAGTGGAGTGATGGTGATGCTCTCTTTCTTTTTGGCTGTCCTAGGCAGCTGCCTGGTTGGCTTGTGCTTAGAGCCAGCCCTATATCAAGGTAGAGCCTCTCTACAGGAGTATTCTTGCAGAAACAGTATCTCAAGGAAATTATTCTGAATATTTTGATAGTTGCTGCTTTTTTGAGTTCTAGGTTCTTATTATGTTTTTTTTTCCCATTTTGTGTGTTTCTCTTGTTTGAATGTTTGTGTTGTTGGGAAGGTGACATGGGTTCTGTTCTGTTCTGAAGCTGTTGCATTAAATGTTTTCTGTTGTTGGTGTTCTGTCTTAGAGTGTAGTGTTTATGATGTAATTGGGTGGGAAAAGTGAACCTAAATTAGTTACTTCCTCACAAACTTTTTGTAAATGACTTGACACTGGTCTTGATTCCTATATGATAGAATTATTAAGGTTGGAAAAGACCAGTAAGATCCCCAAGTCCAATCCCAGCCCATCCCCACCATGCCCACTGATCACATCCCTCAGTGCCACATCTCCATGGCTCTGGAGCACCCCCAGGGATGGTGACTCCCCCACCTCCCTGGGCAGCCTGTGCCACTGCATCACTGCTCTTTCTGAGAAGTTGTTCCTTTTATGTTCTTGCACATCAGCATATACAACAAACTTTTCTATAGGAGCACACATAAAAAATTATATGTATAGGCATTTCAGGCTTGTAAAAAAAAAAAAAGTTGGTTTATGTTGTTGGTAGGAGTTAAGCTAACTGTAGTTGTTAGAAAGTGCATCAGTCTAAGCTGTGATATTCTGTCCTGCCTGAGCTATACCCACTGATGCTTCCTCACTGTCTAACAGGGAGGAGCATAAGTCCCCTGCTGCAATGAAGAGGCAGCTTTGTTGATTCCTGCTCTGGGTTGTGATGAGCTATATACAAAGCCATTTATCCTTTTCCATTTATGGTGGTGGAGTTATTTAGATACCTGATCTAGGACACTGGTCTGTCAGTCTGATAAACAGGGACAAGATTGTTTGCAAAATCTTCCTAGAGCAAGAGCCCAGCTTAAGGGCTCAGGATTGCTCTCCAGAGGAAACTGCTGACAGCGGGTTCAGCCAACCTCTTACAGTGATTTAAAGGTATTTAATATAATTTCCTTCATTATGTTAATATTTAAGTGGTAATCTACTTGGCAGACCAACTGTATTTGTGGGAAAGTCAACTTAAGATAATATTCTTGATTCTGCTATCCTGTCTCCATTATGTGGACACAATCTGTAATTGTGACGTTCAATGCCATCAATCCCTTAGCAACAAAAAACAATTTAATAGTTAACACACAACAACCAGGATAATTGAACTTTGATTACCAAAGCAGCAGAGGTCTGGGCGTTGGACCCTCATTAGATGGTAACCTGTAGGACACTGGTGGAATAATTTTTATCTTCTCAAACACAAGATGCTGATGGGTTTTGTTTATCACTGTTAGGAATGTTTATGTGACTGCAAGTTAATACATGCTGAATGTGATGTCTCATGGTGTTTTCTCCCTTCAAAGAACCCTTCACATAGCTCATATTTTTCTAGATGTTGCTTTTGCTTGCTCATAGTTCCATGCCTTCTGGTTTTACTTCACTTTCAGATACAAGGATATTTTTAAAGGCCTGTACTTACACAAATCTCTCTTTCAATGTTCTTTAGGGGAAGAAAGCAATGGACCTTTATGTGAAACCATTTCAACTGCAGGATCTGAGGCCCCAAGTGGCTCTGAGGTAAGGTACAGTACAGGATTAATGTACTACTGGTAGAATGAGAGAGAAACAGTGCTGTGAAAGAGAAAATTAGTTTTGATTAAGAACACTGCTACTAGATTCTCATATGTATATCTTTATCCATGTAAATGTGTTTTCTTCCTATAATATTTTGAAGGAGCAAAATTGTGAAAGTAATGCTTCTACTCACTGAGGAATTTCACAGCACAAAGCTTTAACAGTAGTGGAAAACAGTTTGGGACTTCACAGCACTTTCAGTGTCAGTCTTCAAAGAAGAATCACATGGTTGCTTCAGTATTTTGTTAATGGGGAAAACATCATGCTCCTCCACAAAGCCAGTACTTAGTTTTATGCTGTGTGTTACACTACTAGAGAATCAAGGCTGTCTTCCATTCCTGTGCTGTAGGTATTTTTAACAGGTCTTTATGAGAAAGCCAAAAGAAGGCAGGTTGTAAGAATACCTCTCCCTTGCAAGATGTGCGAACTGAAATGCATCACCATTTGCTCACTTCTCTCAGTGCCTCATTGCTTAATACAGGGTACACAATGAATAAATAGGGGTACGTGGATACTATTCAGTTAAGAAAGACATTAAAAAGAATTTTGGAATATTTTCTGAAATGGATGTTTTAATTTCTGTTGTCTAATTTCTTAATTGTTACTGTATGTTTAGAGGAGGATAGGAAGAGTTTTATATAAGAATAGCAGTATCTGCTTTGCTGAAGTACAGTCTTAAGTTGCCTACAAGCCCTCATCAGAAATGATATCATAGAATTGAATGCTGGCAAAGTGTAGTTCTGTTATGTTTCTAGAGTACCTTTCCTCATCTGCTTTCGAGAGGTAAATTTAAAGTTGACCCTGTGAAGGCAGAACACCACATCCTTAGATTACACAGATCTTTGTTCTGCTAGCATGTGCACAATATCACCCACATGTTTTTTATGAATCTACCATGTTTCATCTGTTATTGTGTTCAGTCTGCTTCCTCCCCATCTATTGTATGAGTCCCATAAGTAATATTCTTCTCCAAGAAACATTTTGTTGAACAGACATAGCAAATACTTCACTGAACCCAAGCAGACATGAGCTCAAATTACACTGTATGAATCATTGCACCATGATAGGCAGCAGAGTCTGAAGCTGTGTTAAGTTCCTTTTGAGTGCCTGTGTTTACATGAAGATTGCCCATTTCACCAAGATCTGAAAGAATTCAGTTTCAAGTGGGAAAGGGCAGGAGATGTGGGAGAAAGACTGTGACTTATTTAATGTTTGGGGACATGGGATTTTAACTTTTTTCTGTGTGTTCAAATGTTACAGAAAAGGAGGCTTTTATCTTCAACATTTTCTTGGCTGGGAGGCAGTCTGCTTGCAAAAAACATATCTGGTTTTACTCCCAGATGCTCTCCAGGGTCAATTCATGCTGTATTTTCTCTTTTTCTACTTACATATGTTCCTTACCTAGTAATTTTTCTTAATTTGTTTTCAAGTATCACAAAGAAATGTCATACTAACACGTCCGTGGTTGACTTAATGACTTTCTCTCTCTAAGAGGAGACAGCATAATTTGGTTGTTTCTTCAGTTCAGCTGGCCATCTGACACTTTTTACATTTAAATTGATACTTCTCTCTGCTTTATATCACCCTACCCTGTATCCTTGAACACAGTCATTCATCTGATTTTTGCTTTCTATACATAAACTTGGCATAAATTTATACAGTTGCTCCTGATCATCTTGCCCAGCCCTGTAATCAGCCATGACAGCCTTAGTTTGTAATGATGAATGTCCTTTATATCCAAGTGAAGTGTTTCCATGAATCGATTCCAACAGTAACATGGCTTTCATTTTTTTCATATAATGCTAATCCTTTATCTTGATATGTCTTCACAACTTCAGTTTCTTCTTTATAAACCGAAAGACTTTACTTTTCCTCAGTTCTTTGCTAGCTTGCCTTTGTCATCCTTAATGCATTCCTAGCAGTTGAGTAGGCCCATCAATCCTGGCATGTGAGAAAACCCATTGTCTCTCCTCTTTTTGCAGCGACCCGTTTGAGCTCAGGTCAGTGTGCTCTGTTGTTTTGGCAGCCAGTGTGTTTTTCTGTTTTACAAATTTGGTGATTCATAAAAAAGATAGTGGAAGAGAGTTACCTGAATTTCTATCAGGTCACAATTACAGCATGCTTGTACTTTGTTTTTTTCCTCTGCCCCTCCAAAAAAACCCCATAACTTAGGATAATGTCATACTTTTAGTAATAGTAGTAGAACTAAGGTCTCCTGGCTAATTTAGAAGCAGGGAGGACTGGGTGAAGTTAACATCTGGATTCTAAAGAGAAAACATTATCCATAATATAGTGGCATATTCCTGACTTTTGCAATTTGTACAGTAAAATGATTTGTATACAAGGAACAGTGGAAGTAAAATAAAAAAGAAGGTAAAAAGCAGTCTGTGGTGAAGCCTGTCAGCATTTATGCAAAAGTCAGATGAAGTCCAGAACTCAAAAAGCAATGAAATCTGCAGTCAGCAGTGCTTGTGGTCCTTCCTTTATGATTTTGCATTTGTGCTCAAATCCGTTACTACTTTATTTTTTTTCTTCATCTGCTTCTTATTAGTCTTTTTATTTATTTACTTCACTCCCAGGGCCAAAAGAAACAAAGGGCACTTAGAGTTCAACAGACCTGGATATTAGAAGCTTTACAGCATGAATCATTTCTAGATGCTTTGTCATGCAGGGAGGCAAGGAGATCTTTTCAGCAAATAGCAGAACTGGGAAAGGGAAAAAAGGGACGTGGTAGGAATGTTTTCAGATAGGTGCTGCAAAGGCATCTGTTTCCAATTAAGTCTTTGTGAAATCAATTCATAGACAGCCACTTCCATTAGGAATAGCCAACTCTCCTAATTCAGTCTTGAAGCAGAATCTACTAAATTAGCCTTTATAGAGTTCCTGTTCCAAGAAACATGTAAATGAATCTCAAAGATTTCAAGCAAATGGGAAAATGAATGAAATAAAAACTGAAAATCTGTTTTCCCTCTACCTAATGCTTGTGCAGTGGGAGAAGAAAAAATATAGCAGGAGTCCATTTTGTTTGATAGCATATTTGGTGGGAGATCAAAACGCAAACTCATTTGTAGTTTGTTTACATCTGTAAGAGGAATAAACGGAGGAATACTTTAGAGAAGAGAATATGTTTGACTTAGGAAGGAAGATTTTGAAGTATGAAGGACCAGGTGAACACTGCTACCACCAGTGTCAAAGTGTTTGATTTTTGGCTTTTATTTGAAGGAGTTGGGGTTATTTGAGTGTTTCTGAAAGCACTATTTAGTTCATGATCTCGAGATTATACTCTATAAAGAGAAAAGCCCTGCTGTGCAGTGCATGGACTTCAGCATGTAGTGGAAAAGTGGACTCTCTACAAGAGTTTGAATGGACAAGAAAAGGTATGCTGACTTTGAAACACCAGCTTCCATGACTTACTAATTTCAGTTGTACTGAGAGTGAAATAAGTTCCCTAGATTAGTAGGAAAGCAGTTCACCAAAGTCTAGGACTAGACTTTGCCTGCTGAATGCTCTCATTTCACAGCTTACTCTTTCACTAGGTATATTCAAGCTCTATCTTTGAGTAAAGCTGTGTGGGCAGCTCTTCAAGGATGGTTAAGGCCATCTTATCGTGGCTGACATGGGAAGCTGTGAGCGGAAGAAGTACAGGAAGGAGAGGTGGAAGAAGAGCTGATGGATGGCTTCTGCCGTGGACATGGGCAGATCAGGAGCCTCGGGAGATCACTGACAGCCTTGGCTGTGCCTCCACTGGTTTCCAGTTTGTACAGTACTTTACATGGCTGATATTTGCAGAACATAACTGGAGGAAACTTTGTAATTAAATATCTCAGTGTGCATTGTTCCACAAGTCATAGAATCATTAAGGTTGGACAAAACCTCAAAGATCATCTGGTCTAACCCATTCCTACCATGTCCACTAACCATGTTCCTCAGCGCCACATCTCCATGTTGCTTGAAAACTTGCAGGGATGGTGTCTTCACCAGGATACTGTTGTCTTTCTTGACTACCTGGGCATACTGGTGGCTCACGTTCAGCTGGGTTTTTTCCAGTAGCAACAGTAACACGAGAGTTAGATTTGTAAATCCTGTTCAGACTGTCTTAAGATGAAAGAACAGTAGAGCCATTATATTGGCGCTGCTTCTCATGTGGATTTTTTGCAAAAAGAAAAATTTCTTTCAGTTTATCTGGCTGAATTCAGAAAAGGGTATTTTTGCTTAGATGAGCAAATGCTCAGGGATGGTATCATTAATGAAGAATGGAAAAGGGTGTGTTTGCATTCAACATAAACAGAATCAAAACTAGTGTTTATTTCGCAAAATTATATGAGTAGACCTGTGTAATTTCTCTCAAGTAAAGTTTTAGTTGAAAATAAAAATAAAAAAAGTTAGTGAACTTGTAATCTCTGTAGGCTTGGGATCCAGTTACCTGGGGAAGTAGAGTTCTGCTCAAACGTTGACTATCTGAACTGAAAATCCAACCATGATTTAGAATAACTTTCTAGTGATTTAAACGAGAAGCTATGCAGTTTCTCCTCAAATAGTTTTTTCTTTTTGAAGAGTCATTTGCATCATTGCTAACAATGTTATGTTTTTCCCATGATGCCCCTGGCAGGGTCTAAACAGCACTGAGACTACTTTACTCATCCCCGATCATCAAGTGGTAAGCAGTAAGCAACATTCATGCTTCCTTGCATGAATTCGTGTGAACGTCTTCTGTTACCATATGCCAAAAAGTCCCTCACTAAAAAATTTTCCAGTTTCAAGGCAGCCATCCTTCCAAACAAATTGCTTTCCTAGCGTGTAAAAATGGATGTGGCTTTTGAGTCTATTGGCCTCATGACCACATCATGTGATGGCTTAATTGATGAATTCAAGATAATTGAAAGGGTTCAGATGGTGGATAAAATGTCAAAATTGAGAAGTTAACTGTTGGTGAAGAAAACTGGAAAGTTTGCTTTTTTGTTATTCTTTTGGGTTGATGGGATATAGGGCATTCTAACTATGGTGTGATTAACTTGGGATCCCTTTTTATCATAACATGCAGGATTCTGAGTCAGCATGATACTTTAACACGTTTTAATTACTACCTGTTGGTAGTAATTACCAAATATGTTAGAAAACAATCTCCGTTATTTTACAGAGGGGAAAAAAATAAGAAAATTTGTTTAACATAAGTGGAGAAGTACATGCTGAAGTGTATTCAAGTTGCTTGCTTACATGGGGCTCTGGTGTCTTCCATTAACATATATGCTCTGTTAGCATACTTTTTAGTTTTCTTTTTTCTGTTCCTGCTCAGTAGTTTCTTTCATCCAGAGAGGGTTTTTTTTCTGCACATTCAACTTGTAACGTGAACATCCTGAGTGTCCTAAACTGCTCTGAAATGCATGTTTTCAAGCTTCTGTGTGTTTGGAATTGAAACACAAGTGTTAGAAAGATGCAGAAATAAAAATAAAAAGAGATAATAAAGAAGGATGTGGGGGTTCCCTTTGTTTCTTATGATGGCAAAGGTTATAGTTTCTGATGCAACTTCGTACTTTGCATGAAGCATAACTGCAAATGGGGCTGCAGAGAGTTGTAAATGCACTCTTTGGAAGTGGGTAAGTGCTTCAGTTACCTGGGTTGCTCAAAGGAAGAACGCTGAAGTGAACCTCATGCAAAGTGGTCTCTGATGTAACAGTGGCTTTGTTTAGTGTGCGTTAAGTATGGAGGAGTTTGCTTTTTCCTCTTCCTTGCTCTGTGTACTTGCAGTTGTTGTGTAAATGTGTTTACAGGAGCTTTTTGCTTTTCAAAATTGTGTTTTATTGAGTGGTTACATTTGGCTCGGCAGAACTCCAGTCACCTGTAGCTGTCAAGATGTTTTGTTCCGTGAAGAGGGAAGTACATGCACACTGCACTCAAATTTGTAGTGATAGTGTTCATCCTGTTTTTAAGCTGCTGGATTTTTCTTGCTCTTTCACATCTGGAGGTTTTTTTGCCCCATGGTTCATTTTTAAACCCCTAATTTTGTTTGATTTCCTATATTCTGCATTTCTATATGTTTTTTTTCGTTCCTGCAATGGATTGTTAGTGTATAAGTAAAATCACTCCGGTTGGAAAAGACCTTAAAGATCAAGTCCAAACATACTACTAACCTAACTAACAACCTTCTGCTAAATCATGTCCCTGAGCACCACATCCAAATGGTTTTTAAACACATTCAAGGATGGTGACTTGACCACCTCCCTGGGGAGCCTATTCCAGCACTTAACAACCCTTTCTGTGAAGAAGTGTTTCCTGATATCAAACCTAAACTTACCCTGGTGCAACTTGAGGCCATTTCCCCTCGTCCTGTCACCAGTGGGAAGAGACCAACCCCGCTCTCGCTGTAAGCACCTTTCAGTTATTGGAAGAGAGCAATAATGTTTCCCCTCAGCCTCCTTTTCTCCAGACTGAACATCTCCAGTTCCTTCAGTCTCTCCTCATAGGCCATATTCTCCAAGCCCTTCACAAGCCTTGTTGCCCTTCTTTGGACCTGCTCCAGCATCTCAATGTCCTTTCTGTACTGATGTGCCCAAAACTGAACGCAGTACTTGAGGTGAGGCCTCACCAGTGCCAAGTACAGGGGCAGGATGACTTCCCTAGTCCTGCTCCCCACACCATTCCTGATCCAGGCCAGGATGTCATTGGCCTTCTTGGCCACCTGGGCACTCTGCTGGCTCATATTCAGCTGACTGTCCATCAGTACTGTTCATCAGTAAGTGGATAAATGCTTTATAGTGTAATCATTCTGGTTTGTTATGGTGTGTACAATAAAAAATGAATGGTGCATGACTATCTGAATTATGCAATAAATAAATGTTTGCTTTGTGAACTATCTTGCAAGCAAGTAAATGAAATGTTGCATTTTTTTCCTTGTAATCTCAGGAAGTTTTTTTACCTGATAATGTAGGACTGTGGTTATGCAATTCTTAGATGTGCTGATGGGGTGCTGTTACTGATGTAATTTAGCATTACTCATAGTTGGGGATTCTTCATTGTAGTATAACTACTGTAGATAATATTGAGATTCTGCATCTTGGATTAGTGCTCAGTACCTCTTAATTACTGAAATGACAGCTCTAAATGATCTTTCCACTCTTGAGATACACAAACTAGAAGGCAATGAAGGACACTGACCCCTGGACCTCCAGTCCCAGTGCTGCAGAGTTGGACCTTTGTGATACGTGAAGCTCTGGAGGGAGGAAGGGCTGTACTTGGGAGCTGCATTTCTTAGCATGGGCCTCTGAGAAAGCTCAAGTTTTCTGTCTGAATTTTACTCTGAAAAGTATTTCCCTAGGCAGTTCTTCTATTTGTCAAGTCCAGACATAGAGAGAGAGGGCTGAAACACTTAGTAGCAAGGTGTGTTTGGAGGAAAATTCATTTTACATAATAGAGAGTTATCCCCTACAGCGTATAACAACTTGATTTCGTTGTTATGTGAGTGACCAGAAATAGAAAACCTTCTGAATCATGAGAAAATAAACAGGACTGAATCATCTGTGCCTGGTGTAGTGGCACCTGAAGAATAGACTTGCTTTTCCGCTACTTGTAATGGAGCACTGAAGAAGCTGACTGTATTAAGCAAGGTCAGATGCCTGTTCAGGTGAGTCAGTAAGGCTAAGGAAACATTTACTACAACCTGTGTCACTCAGCTTCAGCCCAGAGCTGTTTTTCTGAGGCACTCTATTAAGGCTTCCAGTGGTCACCAGCACTTCCAGCTGCCTGCTCTCCCCTGCTCTTAGTGGTGACAGTCTTGTTTGCTTTGGACCTGGCAGAGCATATCTGAAGCCCTGTGGGAGGAGGCAGCCAGACCTGCTCCTGGAGTGCTTGGAGAGCGGTTAGCGTGTGAAGAAGTTTGAAGGGAGCTCTGTTTAGAGAACAACTGCCAGCTGGCATTTACACACTTCATCTAAATCTGTTTGGGCAGGAGTCATTGTAATATTTGACAGCTTCACTTTGTGTTGAGCTGAGCTTTGTTTATTTTCACGCTGACATTTCAGTCTCCCCCGTGAGTCAGGAGCTCCTGCTGCAGGGCTGCACTCTGTCTCATACGGGATGGCAGTCTGCTTACTGAGATTGCTGGGCAGTTAAGCAAGGTTGTGTGCTCTGATGTCAGGCAGGTGTCTAGGCAAGCTAACAATTAATCACAAGATCAACTATAATGATCGGTGTAGTTCATATGTGCCCGGTTATCTTGTAGTTAGGTGAAAAGAAAATTTAGCCAGGATGTTAGTGCGTTCAGCTCATCTGCCCAGATGCTATGAAGTCACTTCACTTTTAGAGAGGTGGTGAGGCTGGGAAAATTGAGAAATAACTTCAGAACAATGAGTAGGCCTTGTAAATCTACTTTATTCATTTTCTGGAAGCGCTGGCACATGCTGAGCACTGTCACATTGCTTCATGGAGTCATGCAGTGACTTAGATTGCAGATGAGCACTGGAGGTCTCCTCCTCAAGGCCAGGCTAACTTCAGATGTGGATCAGGTTACAGCCATAGAATGGCTTGAGTTGAAAAGTACCTTAAAGGCCATGTAGCTCCAGCCCCCAGCTGTGGGTTGCTGTCAGTCAAGCTGTGGATCCAAAGGATGGAGGTGATACAGTTTGGGCAACCTGTTGGACCTGTTTCTGCTCAGCCACTCCCTCAAATCCAGCAGGAATTTTTCTTGTTGCAACTTGTGACTTTCACCATACACCTCTGAGAGAAGGCTGGTTCCATGTCCTCTGTAATTCCTCACTGGGCACCATTTAGTTAGTCAAAGTTTTAATTTGGTTACTTGTATTACAGGAAAAGCCCATCAAAAAACCCATCTGCTATGATGAGAGGTATAACTTAATAACCGTGGCTCAGCCATGATGAGTTTTGAACGCAGTTCTGAGAAAACCTGTGAAGAAATAAAATGTAATCCATAGCATTGTATGATTCACAAATACAATCAATGCAAGTGATCACCATTTCAGGCATTTTAGCCCCATAAGTGCATATTTAGGCACAGAACAGCATGAATATGCACGACAAATCTTGTTCTTCCTGTGAAATTCAAATGTAGCACACTGGGAAGGAATAATGTATGGGTTTTGTGAGTACGCCTGTCATTATCTATGACAAATAAATCTATGCACAGGAGAAAGCTGAGAAGTGTTCTTCACAAAGCAGATCCAGAAGTGACTGCTGCATCTTCTTAAATTGCTGCTGAAACCTTTAGTGACTGAATGGGATTCTGACACGTCATGAAGAGTAAGCAAACTTGGATGGCACTGAAGATAAAACAGTACTTCAGTTGTGGGGAATGATCTTGTGACTATGCTACACACAGAATTTTGGATGCTCATTTGGCAAGAGCTTTTTTTGAAGTTGTCATAATATTTGTGTATATGGCTTTTGTTTGTTCATGAGGACAAACTCTATGTGAGCATCTCTGCCTCTTTAAATTGGTGGTTGAGATTAGATGGTGCTAGAGTGCAGCTTAGGGTTCACTTAGCTGTAACATTAAATAATTGCAGTACTGTTAATACTGTGGAGATTTCAGTGTGGTTTTATGTGCTAATCAGGCTAACACTTAACAGCTGCAAATTACACAATTTTTTTTTTTTTAAATGAACAGAACTGTAAGAGCTGAACCAAAGAAAGAATACCATTCCCTTCCTCCTATTGGATTTCATGATTATTGTTTCAGGCACGTGAATCTTGCCTGATTGCATGCTACGTTTGGAAGCAGCAGTGTAGGTGGTGAAGGGGCATAAAGATGTACAACACAATGGAAACACGGGGATTGCATTTATTTTTCAAACTTGAACATATTTGAACATAAACACATTTCTTGGAATGTGTGAACATTATGCACGTAGCCTTTTCAGCTCTGGGATGACATGACTGCTATTTTCCTTTTACTTTTCAGCAGATCCAGCATAACACGGGTATAATAGGACCGTGCTCCATTCATTACCTACTGCCTGTTTCTGTTTTCATATTGTTGTCTTTGCATTACGTTCAAAAAAAGTCTTCCTACTGTTCTTCTAAACTACACTGAAGTATCCAAATAATGGTAATTAGCGCTCTCAGAGCTGTTTAAAAACCCAAGTTTATTATCAGAATGCCAAGACACTTTTCCCTTTAATAAAAAGCACAGTCATGCTGTTTGTGGATGGTCATGCTTTTGCTGATTCTTGGAGGCATTTCCTGGCTTTGTTAAGCACAGCTCACTGACACCAAGTGTGGGGTGCTGCTGGAGGCATCTCCCTTTGGGACTTAAAGAGGGACAGCACGCTAACTAACTACTTGTTGGTTATTCCAGCAGAGTGGAAGGAGATATAATCTGTTCCTGAAGCGACGACTCAGGGTAAAACAGTGATGAATGGTATTGCAAGTGCCTTGGATGGCTGCAGTAATAACATGCTTCACTGTGTGGTGTCTTCTGTTAACTGGGAGTGAGGTTCACCATTGCAAATATTTTGTGCTTTTCCAGAGCCTTTTTTCACATGCTTCCTTTAAGAAGGAGAGAGATGTATCTCTCTGAGTTTCTCTTTTTTGTTCCTGCTCTACTAAAATAAAACCCACTTGGGTTCTGTATAACTGCATGCCAATTTGTTGATTTCATTAAATAAAAATAAACAGCTGAAACAAACCAACTTCCTTAGCATGGAGTTAAATTTAGCCCCGAGTTTATCTGCTATAGAGAACTCCTTGCCATTTGAACCTGGAGTCCTTTAGGCAATTTGGTAGACCTGAATGTCGATGCGATTGTAAATAATATTACCTAATATTAATTTTCATAATAGAAGGAGGTAATTATCGTTCTTTGCTGAACATTAACTATTCTGGCCTTTTGCAGAATCACAGAATGGCCCAGGTTGGAAGGGGCCTCAAGGATCATGAATATCCAATCCCCCTATCTCATGCAGGTCTACCAACCTCCCCATTTAATACTAGAGCAGGCTGCCTAGGGCCCCATCCAACCTGGCCTATTAGTAGATAAGATCAATATTATTGATACAAAATTCATATATGCTGATCAATGAAAACATAAGCCTCTGTAGTACAGAGTATCAATTTCCCTGTTGCGTTAATGTGTTTCATTCATTTTTTTTATTTATATTTTTTTTCTTCAGGGAAGTAAATATACAATTTTGAAATATAACCACTGTGTCATTTGTGTGCCAGTTTGTACATGATCATTCCTGGGATGTAATTCTCTGTGGTAGCTGGCCTTAGTGACTTTTGTTGCATAGAAAGAAACGTATGGGGTTTCACTTCTTGCTGCCTGCTTCAAGTTGTTGAGCTGTGCCCTCCAATGCTTTGGTGCAGAGTGGTGTTCCTACTAACTGCAGAAAAACTCATACTGCAGAATAATGCTTGACTTGATCACTTGTGACACATTCTAAAAAGTGTGTAAGAAGAAATGATAGCACTGTTCACAGGCATTGCTGCGCTAGCATGCATTGTGTTTACTTTCTTTATACCAGCTATTTACATGTGATGTTTGTGGTTATAGTCAGTTAATGCGAAAATGATTGCAACTGCATATAGGCCTTGTTAAAACTTGCCTGCAGCTATGAAGAAACTGAAAAACTGAGGCAACTTTAAGGAAACTGCTCTGCCTTTTGTTATTTTAGAGCAACAGCAATACTTGATTCTTAATCATGCGCCCATATCTTCTGCAGATCGATAAAAGACATGAAAGCAAAGATTCAATATTCTTCAGGGATGGTGTCAGGAGGATTGATTTTGTTCTCTCCTATGTGGATGATCTTAATAAAGAATGGGAAAAGAAGTTGGTAAGTTTGCTTTTTTGAGTTCTCATCAATTATCTATTGTAACCTGAATATCAATTGCTAAGCCTTTCAAATCACTGCACTCAGCTGGAACTGAACTTTGTAAAAAGATCTCTTAAATGTGTGAAATGCCATTCCGTGTACAGAAATTTGTGTAATGTACTGTTGTGTGTTTGGAATCAATTTTATTGGATTTTGGGGGACTTCATTTACTAAATTGATCACTTAGTTGTTTGGGTCGTTCAATACATTATACAGTCAGTTTAATACCAAATGATTTTGCTTTCTTCTTTCAATAATCTTAGAAGTAGGTGAAGCCTTAGCGAGCCTATATCTGTATAGTGTTAATGAAGGAATTTTCTTCTAAGTAAGGTGTTACTTGTAGCAATGACATATATTCTTTTATGCAAATGGGCAGCGTTTTGATTTTTCATCCTTATCTTCCTTTAGCAGAAAGATAGCTAGATTAGAATCCATGCAAGAATCAATGCAATTCTCCTTTTCAGACTTCTTTAGGACTCTTTTGTTACTGAACAAGCACAGCATCTCCTCTCTGAGCTTTTGCTTGGATTTTATTTGCTCTACATATGTTCTCACTGCTCTAGTAAAATATTTAATGTGACTTTGGTAAGGAACCTTCTATGGAACAAACATTGTAGCTGGAACAAGCAAGCATGGGCTCCCTCTAAAATGTCAATTGGTGATCATCCTTGGGTTTCCCAGCAAGATCCAGTTGCCTGAATGACAATAATTCCTGTGGCAACATAGGTTCTTACAAGGGCATGCTTTATCAAACCCACCTTGCTTCCTGGCTAGATTCCTTTTTCTACCATGAAGTAAAATGCACGTTAAAAAGAATGAAGAGAAGATCAGTCAGTGTAGAGAGAGGAAATATATATCAATGCGAAATAAGTGAAAGCAACTCTTAAAATAAACCTTTTCCATTAATCATGTTCAAATAGCGTGAGGGAAGAAGTGGAGACTATTTAGGTAATACCTAAAACTGGAAGGAAAATGAGCCAGTTGCTCAGTCTAATTACTCGTTCTTGTTGTTGCAGCATTTTCCTTCTTATTGCTCATTAGTGGGTGGCAGTCTTAGCCAGTGTGTCATTATTTACTGAAGGAGAAAAAAAAAACATACATGAAAACTAGTGGCTAATATTGTAGTTCCTCTTTGAGGTAAAGATGCATTTGATAAGAAGAAGCCTCTGTCTTGCGAAATTGCAGAACATGCCTACATCGAGTTTTGTGGGATTTAATTCTGTATGTCTCCTACCACAAGAGTTGGCAACTCCTTGAAAGGAGGCCTGTGGTTTGTGTCTGTGCAGGTCAGCCCTGCAGGTGTCACTGGTAGGGCACATCACCTTTCACATAGTCCTTGGGAATCGGGAATCTGCAGAGAAAACAAAATGTACCCTATATTTATGTCCAGCAAAGACCTTTATACAATGAACATGCCATTAAATGAATGCAGGCTTTTGTGCTCAGGAGTACTGTGCTGTCGTTTAAATATTGATGTAGTGCAGGTTGTGGAATTGGGTTGAGATCCTGTGCTGGCGATGGCACGCTTTCTGTTGCTGCAGCACAGTGACGCATCAAAATGTAACAGCTAAGAATGCAAGTGTTCATCGGAAGAGAAAAACAGTTCTGACAAAGGGTTCTGTTTCCTTGTCTCAAGGAAACAGCTTTATTCTGCATTTCTAAGAAGGGGATGAATAATCCGTTGTGTGTTTCAGCATGGCCCTGATACAGATGCATGAGGCCAGCTGTTCATCTTTCCCTTAGCTTCCTGCAGAACAAACACCATCACTTCTCTGATGAAACTGACCAGCTTGAAGTCTATTTTGTCTTTGCTTCCCATAGTCTACACGAATAAATCCTAACCACAAGATCGCTGTATACAAAAATTATGATGATATTTTGATGCAACAGTAGCTTTCTTTTTCCTTAAAGCCTCTAGCAGAGAGTCAGAAGTATTTTATCGATACATTAAAATGTATGATAATATGGAAAAAATAAATAACATTCCAAAAACATATCTAATAAATGATTCATATAGGACCAGAGCATGATGGTTGTTTGTAGGGTTGGTACTCCCTACCTGACAGAAAGGGCAAAGTGAAGAGAGTGAGGGAGGTGAGGGTTTGGTTAAGAAATTTGTTGGAAAACTTAATGGCTTTATTCTTCTGCCACCAAGGAATAGATTTGTAATAGATTTTTCTATGCATCCTGGGTAACTAAAGATATAGTGCTGCACCTGCATTGGGTATTTTAGTGCTGCTGGACTTTGGCTCTTGCCTTGTTAATCTTATCAGGGCAGTTCGTTGAGCTCAGACACATAGAAGGTAAGGTTACCCTCCCCAAGCCCATGGGCTAGCCACAGCAGAGCTTAGGAGGTGAGTGCTAGGTTGCTCTCTACCCTATTTAGGCCACAGTTGTCTCAGAAAATGGGGTTTCTGTCTTACTGGCATTCCTGAGAGGTTTAAGTGTGCTTAAGCCAAACATGAGGAAGGGGGTTGGCCTGCCATCACTGTCTGTCCCACGGAGCTTTTTGTGTCCCTCTGGAATAGCAGTGCAGGGTCTGAAGTGGAAGACCAAATGTGTGCCCCAGAAATGTAGCTTTTTGTGGTTAAGGTAGTGAATATAAGATTGTTATATGTATATATTAAAACACAAAAGAAAATGGCACTGGGACAAGGGTACTTTTTGTCCAGCTTAAGCCTTTGCTAACAATGAGAGGAAATAGAGTGTTTGGATAGAAAGGAGGGGAATTTTTTTTATTTTTATTTTTATTTTTTTTTTGCTTTGTTTGTTTTTCCAGCCGATTGATTTCCTTTGAAAGGTGGCTGTTTCAGGTGGCTGGGAAGTACATTCACAAGTGTTTCAGGGAAGGTGGCACATGAGAAGAGAGCATGGTGGTAAAATTTCTATTAGGCATTTCAATTTATCCTGCTATGTCTACAGTAAGAGAAGCAGCGTCAGACGGGGCTGCGTCCTTTGGCTCTGCCAGTGATTAAGCTGCACAGATTAAAGAGGAGCTGGGTGAGAGCATCCCTGATGACAGAGGCCCTGAGCTGGCTCTCTGGATCTCCTCTAGGGTTTGCCAAGGAAAGAACACAGGCATTGTGTTTTGCTGGGAGAAAATGGCATCCAGAACAGCACATCTCTTTGGGTATGAAGCTCACCTATTTGCTAGGTTATCTAGTGTCTAATTTAATTACTAAATATATTTGGCAAAATGAGATGTTAGAGATAAGGTAGAGCCTTGCTAGTAACGTACTAAACGTATCAGTGCATTTTAGCATAGATCTGAGAGCTGTTCCTCAATCTGCATTCACTGATCCAAGTACTTTATGCAAACTCAAATGTAAATAAGGCAGCCTGCTCCTCTCAGAAACAGCAACAGAGAATTGGCTGGAAACTGTGCTGGCTTTTTTTTCCTTCATCATGTGTGTGTTTAAAAAACATCATGGAAGACTGTGGTAGAGAACACGACACATCATTGCAAGTTTTAGCAAGAAATCAACTGGTTGTCCATCTGCTGCTTCCTAATGAGGCCAGGGCCTGATATTTAGTATAGCTTGCAGTTATTCTGGCACTTCTTCAGCAAATTTTATGCAATTAAAGGGAAATTAATTCAGTCTCTCAATAGGAGCAAAAACTGCTCCTGCGGAGAAAGGGGAGGAAAATGGTCTTGCCTGAAGACACTGCCTACAATTACTGGCAGAAGTACAGGGCTCGAGCAGGATATCTCCACGCCTATTGCATACTGCCACAGGCATGGTTAGTTATCTCTGCCTGAAGTCCATGTTGACTTGACACAGGCAAAGCACATTTGCACTCCCCCATGATGATTTTGTAGTCTTATCTACCTGTCCAGCTAAGCTGTTTATGAAACACATTGAATTGTCTGCAATTGGTACCTGAACATTTGCATCAGGCAGGGTTATTAAACTGGAGACACTGTAAACATTAACAGATAACTTTAACCCTAACCTGAATGCTTCCAAATTTTTTCTTAATATCTAGTTTTTCCATTCTACTAGAAATATTGCTGAATCTTAATGATAAGACTTGCACCAACTCAGAAATGCTCAAGACTTGGCTTACTTGTCCACTTAACAGGATGGCACAGCATACAAACCTGTTTCTAACCAGTGGGTTAGGAGCCATTGTGAGTTGGCCAGTAAATAAAATGTGTTTATTTCTCTTCAGGAAAGAAGAAAAGAATTTGAGAGCAATCTGCAGAAGGCTGGTTTGGAACTAGAAACAGAAGACAAGAAGGTAGGAAAAGAACAGAAAGCAGCTTGAGAGAAACTAGTACTAAACAAATAGACCTGCAGATAAGTACTTAGCATATAGCACTTTGTTGCCTTGCAAGGAAAATTACAAAAAGCTCTAGCAGATTTCAGTAGAGCGTGACTTAGTTAAATCTAGCTATATTTGTCTAGTGGAATTATTTTTCCAGGCATGTTCCTAAGGATTGTGCAAAGAAAGTCATTATGTTTCAGGAAGAAGTGATTGTTTTTGAATTCAAAACAGAAAGAAATTGGTCCCAAACTAGCTTAAACCTGTGTGTAGGGTATGCTCACAGCTAGATGTTATCTCACCAGTTAGAAACACATCTGGGAGATGATGAATAGATTAACATCTGCTCACTGGGTGTGGCAGTTCCAATAAGGACAGACCCTGGTGTAACAATTTCAGGATGTTTGATCTGTGTTACTGTTTGGGTTTTAAGTGGAGAGCAGATGCTGCTTTTACAATCAGTATGTTTTTGGATTTTTATTTCTGCCAGAGACTGAGGCAAAATAAGCTGTGATGTAGTCCAGGCTCTACAGCCTTAGATGGAGATTCGTGGAACAGTATTTTATATTATCTGATGGCTGCTTTCTTCTATGTGCATATATGTGACATGCTACACTGACACACATAGGGTGACGCCTCATGATAAGATTATTCCTTATCATAGCTGCAGGGCTGTAATGGATGTTGCAGCTCTTGATAGTGTTGGTCTGCTTTGCTTTATAAGAACTGCTTCTCCAGGAAAGAAATCGGCCTGAGAACCTGCAGGACAGCTGGGCTGCCAAGTGGCAGTGCTGCACAATGAACCCTCACATTTCCAATGCCCTCAGCATGCAGTGAGCATGCTCAGGCCTTGCAGTGCAAGGTGAATGTAGTCTGAAAAGCATTTAATGGTGCAAAGATTATCTGCATTAACAATCAGCCATTCACATAACCTATTCAATGTTTAAAACTTAAAGTCTGAAAGAAAGAGAGGCTTTCAAAACTGTAACAAGAAATAAGCAGCATGTAACAACTATACTGATAAATCTTGCAGTAAAACACAGTAATTCTGATGTCAGCTTTAACTTCTGTGGGACAGGAATCTGAAGATGGCAAAATTTACTTTGTGAAGATCCATGCCCCCTGGGAAGTTCTGATCACATATGCAGAAGTGCTGAACATTAAAGTTCCCATCAGGGAAAATGACATTCCCTCAATGGTGGAGAACCCCCTGGACTGCATGCTTACGCCGTTCAGGCTTCCTGAGAAGGTGATGCACCCAGAGCCAGATTATTTCACTGCACCGTTCAGCAAGGACAAGCAGGAGCTGTACCTCATTAATGATGAAAGCACTTTCTTCTCGCCATCCATGAGAAACAGAATAGTACGTATGTGACTTCTGTCCACTTTCATTTACATGTTAATTTACACTGACTGTAGGAATACATGTTCAAGGAAGGAGAATGTAAGCTGTTGTGCCTGTGGGTAAACATGAGGAAGCCTAGATGTCGGCACAGTTTTCTTAGAATTCTGAATTAATGTATTTAAAAGTGGCTCTTTTGCACTTCTGCAGAGCAGGTCATGCAGGGAAGGACCTTCTGAAGAACTACTTTTTCCTTCACATATTGTTCTTGCAGATTACACATAGTGCACAGCCATTAGAGTTCTGTTAAGTGGCCTTAAAGCAGGAAAGGACTGAAATTCATGTGTTTGAATCTCAGGTTAATTATATACTTACACGCTGTCCGTATGGAACAGAAGAAGGGAAGAAGAAGTTTGGGATTAAAAGACTACTGAATAATGGCACCTATTCAGCTGCTTACCCTCTTCATGATGTAAGTATTCTAGCATTCCACTCTCTTGAGTATTTAGCAATGCTTTTTTCTTTCACCTACTGTGACATTGCTGTTTACAGCAGAAATGAAAATGTGCTCAAATCCTTTCAGTTTGTCCTGGTAATTGATTCTGTTTTGCAGTACACAAGAAATATCTGCCAGTCTTACTGCTGGGCTTTTATGTTCTGAGAGGTTTCTTCCCACTGATGAGTTTCTAGGGTCTACTTTAAAAAGTCAGTCCCATAATTTCTAGGAAATTTATTCCATAGTGTATTCCTATAATGTTTATTATACAGATTATGTGGTAATATGTTAGAAAGATAAATGTAAGTTTATAGGGAGAGAGTGTAACTGATGAGACTCTAGGCTGTACTAGTGCCAGAAAGTACCTCCTACTGTTGGGAGCACCAAAAAACAGTAAGGAGCGGTGCTGTGAAAATCTTTTCTATATGTGATGAACATTACTAGAGTAAATTAGTGTTAGAATTTCATTTTGTGTGTATTTTCATTCAACTTCAAAAAGCCCCAGCACTGAGTACATGCTAGTGCAATGACAAGGGGCAGGGGACAGCTCTGACTTACATTCTCTGGCTGTACAGCTCTCAGTGAAATGCTTTCAGCTGTGGAATTTGTAATGAGGGACTGCTTCTGAGCCACAGAGGAAAGGATTTAAATTTCCATTATTTTTTCTGAATCGGGAGTGAAATGGTGTTTTTCTGTTTCTGGGAACTTCTGAGCTGCATATGCTGGACCAGTGTAAAAACCATTTACTGCAGTAACCTACTGGAGCAAATGAGTATCACAGTACACATGCTGTACTAGTGCAGCTTTGGTGTAACATAGCATGAAGTCGCTCCATACAGTACAGGTTCTTTTAATGTCTGTGACGTTTACTGAAAATGCAAATTATCTTAGAACATGCATATATGAAGAAGTTTCTACTTCAGCTGCTAAAGGAGAGCGTGGTTGAGTGAATTGCAAATTATTTTAATTCCCCATTAAGACATGTACGTCATTATTAATGCTTACTTCTTTCAATTTAGTGTTTGAATCTGTCGATGAGCTGTTTTGCCTTTCCTCTGATTTGCTCACAGTGCCAATACTGGAAAAAGGCAAGTGATCCAAACTGTGACAACGAGAGATACACGCTGTACATGGAGTGGGCCCGTTTCTTGCGGTTCTACAAAGAGCAGCCTTTGGATCTCATCAGGTAAAATATTGTCTCCCTTGTATTACAGTGAAAGCCAGTTGAATATAATAAGTTTACAGATCTGAATTTTTTCTTGCTGGGAAATTTTTATTGGGTGAAGACCTGGTGAGAATCAGGCACATAAGAGGGCACTGAGGTCCTTGGAGGAAGTAGTATGCGTTTTAACTAGCAACTGGGAAAATGCTGTTCTGCAAGTAAAGCCTTATCCAGTCTAGCCAGCACTCCTGGGATTGATAGATGTGAATGCATATAAAGAATATTTTTCATTTTATAATCAATATCTGCCATAATTTTTAAAGAGTGATCTGAAATTTCCAAATTTCAGCGTAGACTTGAAAAAATGTTGATGAAATCATTTTCTGAAGCTTGAGTCATAACTCAGTGTTAAATCTGAAGTTAAGCTAACCTTACTCAAGATTTCTTTGATTTGTCTAATATCAGCTTAATAGCGACCACATTACTAAATTGATGGGTTGCAGCTGCCCTTCTGCCACACAACCAGTTCTATTTCTGTGATAAACTACCTTTGCATTCTAACTGTGTGATCAGAACCGTTGTGCCCATTTCTATGACTCCATGGAGAATAAAAAGTACATTTTCATTTACATTATCCTCTGGGAAAGAGAATGATTGAAGCTGGAGCTCTTGGTGGAGGATGTGGGAGTGGGGAAGGGGGATCAAAAGAGGCCATGTATGTTATTCAATCAGATTGTTTCATTGGTTTGGTTTTTTTGTTTGTTTTGTATACAGGAAGTACTATGGTGAAAAGATTGGAATCTATTTTGCCTGGCTAGGATTTTACACTGAGATGTTATTCCTTGCTGCAGTCGTTGGTGTAATTTGTTTTCTTTATGGCTTGTTTACAATGGATGAAAATATGAGCAGGTGAGTGTAATGTTAAAAATCTCCTGAGCTTGCAATGGTAAAAGATAAGTAAAGCAAACACATTGTTCATGTAGGAAGACAGGTAGTGAGCTTTTAAACTCAGCAGACAATTTTGTTTTTCACCTATCCGCATTGACCTAAATCGTTGTGAACAATCAGAAGAAAACTGACTATTCTAACTGTTAGAATCATAGATACATAGAATGGCCTGGGTTGAAATGATCATCTAGTTTCAACTCCCCTGCTATGTGAAGTGTCACCATCCAATAGACCAGGCTGACCAGAGCCACATGCAGCCTGTGGCCTTGAATGCATCCAGGGATGGGGGCATCCACAACCTCTTTGGCCAACCTGCTCCAGTGTGTCACCACCCTTTGTGTGAAAAGATGCCTTTGAGATGCTCAGCAAAAGGTGCAGGTCTTCGGCTGCACTGGGATCAGAGAGCAGCTCCTACAGTCCAGCAGAAAGCTCTCCAAAGTCTAAGCAAAATCAAGTACTTCTGCCTCTGCTAAGGGCTGGAAATGTGAAACTCAACTTGTAGACGAAAAGCAGTATTTTATTGCCATTTGGCAACAGCTTCTAATATCAGAGTACCTACAGTACATAAGGGCTAAAGAATGCCACTGACATGTCTCAAAATTGTTTGTTTCAAGTGTATATCATTGCATTATGCTTTTATATTTTAATCTGTCTCATGGAGTATCTATTGACCATTTTATGTAGGTCATCATTTTTGCTGACTACTAGAAGCACAAGCGCAGTACAAGTCAGCAGTGTTCTGCCATCAGAGATGACTTGATTATGGCAGAAGCCAGAGTTTCCTTCTTTTTAAATAAACTTATTGGTTTTTTCAAGGACCCCAAGATTTACTGTATTCAGGGATTTGGTGTGGGGCAGAAAAGAGAGTTGAGCTTTAGGTTTTTCTAAGGAGTCTTTGATAAAACGTTAAGTGTAAACTGCAAAAGGTAGAAAATTAGAACTCAGGAGCTAGCTTTTTGCCTACATTTATCTCTACACAGAATACAATTGCTGTCATCTGTTCTATTCTGTCACTGTGAGATTTGCACTAGTTACATTCAGAATTCGCTGGGGAATAGTGCTGTGTATGATCAATTTTCTGTGGACAGGAGAGGTATACACTGGATTATAAAATTCACTCGCTTGTTAAATTTAAGTAGCAAATCATATTGTAAATGGCAGGCTGAATTAACGCTTTCTTTTGGAAAAGGTGTTGCAGGCATCTTACTAAGCTGATGTGAAATAACGTGGTTTGTATCTCACATAAGAGCAGTGCAGTACAGCTCCTTTCAGACTTCTGTTTCATTACTGGAAAAAAACAGAATGCCCAAGCCAGGGGATTAGCTAGTTAGCCTCCTTGTAACAGCTTATTTTTCTTTGCTTGCCCTTGGCTTCTCTGTTAAGCTGCAGATGTTGAGCTTTGAACAAAAGAAGCTTCAACATCTTTGTTTTTGAGGAAATACATTTCATATAGCAGCTCTTAAGATGCTATAAAAACATATACTGTACAATGTTTCTGTTCTCAGCAAAGAGATCTGTGATCCTGCAATTGGAGGAGAGATCATCATGTGTCCTCTTTGTGATCGAGAGTGTGAGTACTGGAGACTAAACACCACCTGTGAGTCCTCAGAGGTCTGTACCTGCTTCTTAAGCCCTTTCTCATGTATATTTACACTGAAAACTGGTTTGTTACTGAATGTTTCCTCTGTATTCTGTTGCAGTATTCCCATTTGTTTGACAACGTGGCAACTCTTTTTTTTGCCATTTTCATGGGCATATGGGGTGAGTACTAATAAGTTATATTAGTATAAGTTATATTATATGGGGTGAGTAGCTAATAAGTTTTAAGTCAAGCAGTAGAGAAATCTTGACCAAACTGTTGAGAGAGGTATGAAGATGGAGGATGGATGGCTTTAATATCCTGCCTCCAGTGAGAAGTGATTATTAGCAGCACTGTTAGGATGAAAATTACTTGGATTCTGTTCCAAAGAAGTTTATAGATTACAGTGCGTTTTCAGCATTGTTAGGATGAAAATCACTTGGATTCTGTTCCAATGAAGTTTATAGATTACAGTGGGTTTCGATGATGTGGAAATGGATGAATTTTCTGAGACTGGCTGTAAGCATGGGCTCACACTAACTGAAACTGGCTCAGACTTTAAAACTAGATCATTTTGCACATAAGTTCTTTTCCTGAAGTTCATACATCTTTATAGATGCAGGATACCAAGGTTGTTATTCCTCATTCCCTAAATGCCATGTCTGCTGGGTGAAATACTATATAAGATGCAACTAAGTATGTCAATTTGGTTACAAATCTTCCATTAACAGACATAGATCTGTGTGCTAATGTATTTGTTATCAAAGGATCTAGCAAGTCACCTTTTCAGAGATTTCTCAAAAAAATAATTTTGAGTAAGATGATTTTGTAATGCTGTTTTCCTAAACTTGCTGTGGTTGTAAGCTCTAGCCTTTGAGTGACATGGATTATTCATTCAGGAAATACCAAGAGAAGACTTTAGAACTGCAGAAGATAAGGTTTTCTGTTGGCTGTATAAGCTATGGAGTCTCTCCACCTCAAATAAGAGCAATCAGATGGCCAAAGGTTTACATTTTAGATTAGTTTATAGAAGGCTTTTAAAACGTTATATGGTAATATAACTTTTATAGCTGTTTACATATGAAATAAGTTCCTTCTAGTATCTGTATATATATAATGTTAATAAACAACAAACTTAAAGCTAAGCTCCCTTTTGACCATACAAAGCATTGGACGTCCCCTATGTCTAGAATAACCATCATATCAAATAACCATCCAAAAGCAACAAAAATCCTTGAATGTAATATTTGAAAACAGCTCTGCTTACTTGTAACAGTTGTTCACGTGTTACACAGTTATACACAAGCAATTAATTGAATTATCACAGGGTTTTTTTTTTCCAATTCTGTATTATTATTTGTATGTAAGAAGTAATGACAGCTGTAATTGGGCTGTAAATGGTTGTTATAACCATGCCAATAGCCATTTCCTGTCTTGGCATTTCCCATTTCATCCTCTTCTGGAGTTAAATTAACTAATAAATGTACTTAAACTGTGTTTAAGTCTTAGCTTGGAAATTCAAAAGGTAGCTAATAAAAATAGATGAGTCATATTGTGAGAGAAAATAACAGCCTGAAGAATAGGAGCCAGTACAGAAACAAGCTTAATTGGTTCAGAAGGTTTTTCACTTCTCTGTTTTACACATCCAACAGTTACACTTTTCTTGGAGTTCTGGAAGAGGCGGCAAGCAAGATTGAAATACGAGTGGGATTTGGTTGATTTTGAAGAGGAGCAGCAACAACTCCAGCTGAGGCCAGAGTATGAGGCCAAATGTACCCAAAAAAAGAAGAATCCCGTAACTCAGGTAACACTCAGACTGGGTGGACACACACATTCAGTTGTGTGCTGCCAAGATAGTTTGATAGTGCGTGAGTTCTGTATCTAATCACTAGGTAAAGATCCATGCAACGAGTATGGATTGCATTGGAAGAAATGATTTCTCTGCTGAAAGCAGCTGACAACAGTGTAGTTGTGCTAGCATGCTGCAGTTAATAACCCTGCCTTCCAGGGGGCTGTTAGCCCCAGGGCAGCACTGTCAGGGTGTGCCTGCACTGCTTCCATGGCTGAAATGGACAGGAATCAAGGCCTATCTGCACTTCAGCCTCTCACATGATGGGCATGGTCCATCCCTTAGACCACAGCATGTGTTAATAATTTTCATTTATTATCCTCTAAGAATTTAAATTTCTCCAGGAAACTGATGCATTAAATCAGGAAGACAGAGGCAGTGTCTATACCTTTCAGTTGGCTAACACCATCTTTATGGTGTCCTTTACATTTCAGCACAGCTGTCTCTGAAATTTTCACACCTTCCTAAGCATTCTTTCTCATGCTTTTACAGTGTATTAGGGAGCAGTTGTCTTCACCTAAAGACAGACCAGTGTGACCAGCTGTGGTTTTTCCTCAGATACACAAACACATTGCTGGGGAACACTAGAGAGATGAAGGTTGCTGAAGATCATGCTATGAAATCTAATAGAGATCTAATTAACCATGCTTTTTGACTATGCTAAATAGTCTAAATACTTACTAGAAGTTAATCATCATCATTTACATTTAATTTAGGTAGGAATTATTTCACAAATTTAAGGCTTAGATAGTTGCCTTCCAGTACAACATCCACCACCTTAATTTGAAGTATTTTTAAATCATGAAATTGTGTATAAATAATTTACTTTCCCTAATCATGAGTACAATAAGGTAACACAGTCTTCAGAAAAAAAAAACAAACAGAACTGAGCCAGAGTTTGGGAAGCATCATCTACTGTTACATCAACAGTAGACTTGTTTTTCAGGTCTGTCTCCATTCTTTTTAGGGAATACGCATGCTAAACTTATTTCTTGTGAGTTTTTCCTGTCTCTCTTTCCCCCTCTACACATTCAGCATTAACATTCTTGCTGTCATACCAGCAACTTGCACACTGCAGTCATACAGAGATCTTTGAAGACAAGCGCTATGATTTTCAGCATAGCTCTGCCAAGGTATTGCTTTCTGCATGCTCAGGAAAAGAGTTTCAAGCAAATGATAATTTTTGCCAAGTTAGTTCAGCTAATTACAAACAGGTGCCTACATGCTGTGTGCTGTGTGCTAGTTTGCCTCCCTGTGAACACTTCAGTTCAAAACCTCCACTTTCTTCCATAGCTGTGCAGTAGCAAAACGCAACGGAACAACTGTGGTTCTGCTGCCATGGAAAGAGAGGGGAGATCAGAAGTAGTTCATGGCCCTGGTGTGCTCTGAGGTCCTGTGCTGCAGCAAAGTATGGTGGTGTGAGGATAGGGAAGTAATGGCCTGGCTTGTGGGCAGTGCTTACCTACAGTGGAGACCAAAACCTGTGGGCTGGTGAAATGAAGCACCCACAGCAGTCAAATGTGGCACAGGTTAATGTAACTGTCTGAGGGAAAAGGCTGTTCTCTCTACATCCACGCTGCTCTCGTAAATCAGGCAACCTGTTTGGAATTCATTCAGGAGATAGAAATTGGACCTTGATATGTTTTTATCTGTGACCGAGATACTGTGCTGTTCTGCGCTTTGTAACTGTGTATTAACATTTGCCATAAAAATTCAATGGCTGCATAATCCTTTATTTTATGACACATAAATTTATTACCTTGGTGGATTTTCAGAAGCTTTTGTGCAGCTGGGTTTAGCAGTGATGCTTATCAATTCCCAGTTACAGCAAAGCAAGCAGGTTGGCCACACCGTAATATAATTTCACTACATTAGATAATGTGCAATACTGAGCAGTGACTTCAAATAAATTAATTCTGCAGACTGAGTAAGATGATATAGATACAGGTTACTGAGTTTCTTGCATCCCAAGGCTAGCTTTGCTTCAGTTACAAAACCATTTCTTCACTGTTTAGCTTGGAGAAGAGAAGGCTATGGGGAGACCTCATTGCAGTCTTCCAGTACTTGAAGAGAGTATAAACAGAAGGGGCAATGACTGTTTACAAAGGTGGATACTGATAGAACAAGGAATGGTCTTAAACTGAGACAGGGGAGGTTTAGGTTAGAGATTAGGAGGAAGTTTTTCACACAGAGGGTGGTGATATACTGAACAGGTTGCCCAAAGAGGTTATGGATGCCTCATCTCTGGAGGCATTCAAGGCCAGGCTGGATGTGGCTCTGGGCAGCCTGGGCTGGTGGTTGGCGACCCTGCAAACAGCAGGGGTTTGAAACTAGATGATCATTGTGGTCCTTTTCAACCCAGGCCATTCTATGATTCTATGATTGTTCCTGGCCATGATTTGAAGTACTAGGTGCACTGAAATAGAAATTAGCCATCTTCAGGCTTTAATTAACACCTCATTTGCTGTTAAAATAGTATTGGCATCATCCTCATGGTGCTAAACAATTTAACTAGAACGTAAGTGAAGTCTGCTTTTGCTGATGATAGCAGAATCATTGTGATGGTGTGCTTAATATTGTGCTGGCCTGTAGTAACTAGGGTTTCTTTGTCCAAGAGGGGCAGAAATATGCCACAGTGCCCTGGCCTGAAGATTTATCAAATTCAGATTACTTGCTACTAAATTGTATTCCATTGGCATTAATTTTTAAATGAGCATTTCTTAATACGTGCAATGTGGTATTCTAGGAATTAGAATTGATTGAGAAAGAGAGACCTTTACACCAACATGGAAAGCTGTTCTTGTGCTATGTGGGAATACTCTTTTGGGTAAGACCTAGCTGCCTGATGCTGTGGCAGAGATGGGCAACTAATGAGTGTAGCCATTTCTTCAATTCTAAAATTGAAGGAGTGGGGGAAAATGATTTCTGGCTGTGTGGAAAAACATGGTACATCCAAGTAAATGATTGTTTTGTGAAATCTTGACATTAATTTCCTAAAATTTAGGCCAGTTCTGACCTCAGCACTCTACGACAGCTTACCTATCATTACAGTAATGGTTCTGTTCTCTTGGTCTTTTTCCTTCATCTACTAATTGATATTTTGCAAAGGTTTAGCCATTCTTTCCAGGTACCATCTTTATTCTTTGCATTGTTATGGCCACTTCTGTCCTGATGTTTTTTTTCATTATTTTTCTGCTCAGAATTTAAAATCCTATCCTATCTGCTCCTTTAGAGAGACAGTGATTCTGAGCAGTTTTCCTTGGATGTGGTTACTTTCACACAGCTGTTGAGAGCTCTGTGTGCTGCTTGAAGTTAGAATAAGATGATAGATTTGTGAACTGTGCTGTGCTTGCTTGACTGTTTCAGGAAATGGAGCCTTATTTGCCTCTAACAAGCCAGGCTGTGCGGTTCTGCATCTCAGGAACTACAGTGTTGTTCTGGGTGAGCATCTTTTTTGAATCATCACGTTAACATCTGTCACAATTGCTGATCATCACTAACTGTGGTATTAACACATACTAGAGTGGTAGCTTGCCACCTGTTACTGTTCTGCTGATTTCCTGCTGTCATGCAAAATGCATTTCGATTCAGAGGGCAAAGAAACGAAACATTGGAAATCCATCCATAAGTAGTAATTTGAAGAGACCTTATAGCATAGGGGTAACTTCTCTGACTTACATGCTATAGTGAAAAAATTGTGCAGCAAAGGTATATAAAGTAAATATTATTATTCATTACTATGAAGTATAGAAATATCCACAGAGTGAATTTCAGGGTGGACAGTATTATCTAACTTGTCCTACCCATTTCCATTTCTGAGTCTGTATCCTTCTGCACAATTCCGCTTGTCTTCTGCTTACAAAGTAATTTTAGTAGCTTTAATGTATCTAGTATAACAAATTCTTTGTGTACTTTGCTTTTCAGTGCTGCTGAACTCATAAAGAATTGAATTTCTCATAAAATTCATAAAACTCACAAAGCATGATGCTGACCTTATTTCAAAAGATGCATGTGTTATAGCTATACTGAGCTGAAATCTGTCCTTTCCTTAGGTGTCTCTGATCATAGCTAGCATGATAGCTGTGATCGTGTATCGCCTTGCTGTGTATGCTGCCTTCGCCAGCCTCATGGAAAATACTCAGACTCTGCAGCCCATCAGTGGATTACTGACCCCTCAGCTGGCAACTTCAGTCACAGCTTCTTGCCTCAATTTTGTCATCATCATGATACTGAATTTCATATATGAGAGAATAGCTATCTGGATCACTGATATGGGTAAGCAGTGTAAGTGAATTCAGAACTCAGAAGGAATGGCTGGAGGTAGAACCTGTTGAAAATAGAGTATTGTTTGCAACTTTATTTGGTATCCATGGCCATGTTAAACATTTTCCCTGCATTTCAGTAGTTATTGTAAGCTCCTTTCTCATAGTGCTGCATTTGCATGTACTAAAACTAGCCTGACGGAGTCAATGGCAGTTCTGAACATAATTAAAATAATTAAAAATCATTATGCATTGAGTTTTTAGGAAGCTGAAAATTATTAGAAAAGTTAAAGTTATTAGGTGATGATTGTACAGCTGTCATAAAAACAATTGGGTGATTATTTTTGCATTTTGAGGTTTTACAAGTAGAAAGGAGAATTGGAAGGTGTGTGTTACAGAAGCTTAACGGGACGTTACGTTGTCTTTGTTTTGATTATTTGTACACAAGTTCTTGTGTCAGATATGTGTTGAATACCTCACCTGACCAAATTAGACCAAGAAAAGACAGAACAAGTCATAGATGTTGGTCTTTCTTTCTCAAAAGGCACAAATGACGATCATGAGGGCTCAGTTACGTTATTTTGCTGTTTGGAAGCATGGGGGATGAATTTCCTAAGAGAGCGCTGCCTGTGTTAAGAGAGAAAGGAATTCATTTACTTCTGTGGGACTGCTGCCCTCCCGTGGCAGCCCTATGAAATACAGCTAGCAGAGGCTTAGAGGTGTGGCTTGTGTCCCTGAAAGACCACCTCACCTTTCTGAGCACTGCCTGCTCTATAGAACGCAGATGTCAGATTTCAAGTAAATTCCTTCTGTTTTTCAATCACACAAACTTAAACCACAAACTTAGTTAACATGGCAGTACTCAGATGTGAAATGACTTCAGCATAGGGGGTGGCGAGGTCAACATATTTTCCTGAAGGGGAACTTGAACTTCTGTGGTTTACTTTCTTCTCCTTTCTTCTAGCCTGAATTAGTTGTATGTTAGCATTTAACAGGGTATTTATTAATAATATGCTTAGGGCTGCCTGCTACCTTAAGAAGGTAAACATGATGGAAAATGTGATTATGGAGGTAGGCAAATCTTAAGCAAAGGCTTAGTGATGTCAACTGCCATGAAGACCAGGTTGGAAAAACCTTCAAAGTCATCAAGTCCAGCCATCAACCCCTGCTATGGCGTTCTATCACTACACTATGTCCATTAGTGCCATGTCCACGCATCTTTGAAATAGTTCCAAAGATGGGGACTCTCCCACTTCCCCAGGCAGCCTGTATCCTACCCCATTCTTCCCCACTCTGAATTTCTCATTTGAGAAACACTGGGCCTGTCCAGTTTCAGCTGATGTCAGTTTAAGCTTCATGTATGCAGAACATTGTAAAAATAGCACTAACATCATTCTCTGCAACAAAGCAAAAATATTGCTTATCCTGCCCATTGTCAACATTAGAATTTTCATACTCTGGAAGACTCTACTAGTTGCTGGTTGAGATGTCCTATTTCTGATATAAGAGATTTGGCGGTAAAACAAATGATAGTAGATAGTATGAAGAAGTCAATGGAATTCAAGAATGGATTCAATAATGAATTCCACTTGCTTGCCTACTCAGACCAGTGCCTTGTAAATTAAAAGTAGGATGCCTCAGAACAGGAGCTCCAACTGCTGAAGTGAATTTGGAGGGTATTTTTGATTTTGTGTTCATTTTCTTTGGGATGTACGGGCATTGTGGGTGATGAGAATTTATGGAAACTCTATCCCCTTAAGAGAATGAAGGAAAATAAATTTACTGTTTTCTCATTTCACAGAGATTCCCAGAACTCACATGGAGTATGAGAACAGGCTCACTATGAAAATGTTTCTGTTCCAGTTTGTGAACTATTATTCATCCTGCTTCTATGTGGCCTTCTTCAAAGGAAAGTTTGTTGGTTACCCAGGTGCATACACCTATATGTTTAATCGCTGGCGAAATGAAGAGGTAGGATTTCTTGATAAAGGTGGAATTCATAATAAAGTAATTAAACTCTCCAGCCCTTTCAGCCTTTGGAGTTACAAATTTCCAGCTGCTGGTCTGGTCTGCAGTGAGCAGGACCTCAGGTTGGTGGAGGGGGCTTCCAGATACTCTTCCTATTGGTAGTCAGGGAAACCTTGGCAGTGGAAAGTTGTGACTCTCAGCCACATGAGTGAGAAATCTGAGTGCTATTCTTGGCCCCATTTTTCCTGAATTATCAGTGGATCTCACCGTATGTTTTAAAAGTAATTCTCTGCACTGAGAAAGACTAGGAGAAAAGGAAATGGCTGCTGGTTTTTGGGTGTCCCTGCTAATTATAGCTAGATTTTTCACAGAAGCCATCTCGTAAGAGGCAACTCTGTAAGGCTTTGCTTCTTTCATACATCATTGCTAATTATGCTGACTGTACAGAGATGAAACGCAGTGTTTAATGAAGTGTTATGTGGAACTCAGTAGTGGAGAAAGAACTTGAGGCAAACTACAAAGAAGTAATAGTGTGATTAGTGATAGAGCATCTCCTAATACAACTTGGCTACTAAACTCTTAAGAACTCCACAATAAAGAGCTGAAGTTTTGAAGATAGCGTTCTTGGCAAACAACAGAGACTGAATACTGGCAGTTATTTAAATGTCCCCAGTGTAGGGAAATGAACAGAAAGTGCAGGTGCTTGCTAGGTCAGGGTTGGCTGGTGTTCAGAGCTGCTCATGCACTATAGATTCCCCTGGCTGGGGCTGTGGAACAACTACTGCACCCAGATCCTGCTACTCCCTCCTCATAGTGACCAGTCTGAAGCATCTCTGAGTTACTCTCTCTTTCAATTATCATTATGTATGAACATGTGCTTTATCAAGCATGCTGAGCATTTAATGCCTGTCTATAACAGCCTTGCTGAAAACTGTATCTTAGCTGGCAGGCAAGGTGAAAATTAATTATAATCCTAAGAATTTTTAAGATCTTTTTTTCTCTCCTTTCTTTAATTTATACAGCAGTAGAATGTATTTTGTCTGAACAATGTTCGTTATTAATGTCTATTAATGCCCCAATCTGTCTGTCAGTGTGATCCTGCGGGCTGCCTGATTGAATTGACGACTCAGCTCACCATAGTCATGGCTGGCAAACAGATCTGGGGAAATATCCAAGAGGCCATTGTACCGTAAGTTCTCTTATACTGTGATGTCTGTGTTATAAGGAAAGGAGTGGTAGCAAGCACTGGCATGTGATGAAGCTAAGAACAATGTGTGCAAATTAACTGCATAGAAAGTAGACAGGTTTTTATTTTTTTTTGCTTCTCTTTGTGAAAATGTTTGTAAAAGCATATTGAAACAAGGAGATTGCTAGGAGAAAGGAATGCTTGATCTGCTTTTCTCATTCTTAACTTTTTCTTCCTAAATGCAGCTGGATTTGTAACTGGTGGGGACGCCGCAAAGCCAGAAGTAATCCAGAGAATTTGTATAGTCGCTGGGAGCAGGACCATGATCTGCAGACGTTTGGAGCCCTGGGTCTTTTCTATGAATATCTGGAAATGGGTATGTTTTAAAAGTACAGAATTGGAATGAGGATAAGATACTTTGCACTGACACAAGAAGACTGCATCTCAACTAGTTGTTGAGGGTTAACTGCACCACTTCAATCTAGTAAACAGGAGAGGGTTAATTGGTCTAAATGATTAAATAGGGAAGCCCACTTATAAAAAAATGAAAAGGTGCTTTGTACATCTTTGAATGGGAGGGATGTCACAGAAACACTGTAAACACTGTTTCCCTCATTCGAATGCTGAGCATTTTTCTCATTGCAACTAGCTGTCTCAGTCTGTATCCCATTCTTGTTTCCAAGCTGATGTCAGTGGAAAATCAAAGTGGTGGATGAGTGCCAAATCTGCTGCAAGGGTGTGTGCTGCAGATGTGAGATCTGTGAATCAGATCAGAGGGAATCCATTTGTTTTAGGTGTGCTCTGAGATAGAAACCAGCAGGGGGAGCACGACTAACAAAGAGTTTTTCAAAAGGTTCTGTAAACAGGACGTGCATATTAAATTTATTTACAAAACCTGAGTGTGTTAGTGTATTGGGATTTATTACTATCTGCTGCTTAAACCAGACAAGAGGTTGTGTTTCTTTTCCTGTCTTTAAAATAAAGTGGCAATATTAGGTCTGCAGTGAGGACTGTCACATACTGCAAGAGATGTTTCACTGTGGTAATGAAGAAGACTTTTGCAGCCTGATGGAAGTTTGCTGTTTGTCTGCAGGTGGCAAGTTGAACTTTCCTAGGGATAGATTTTGACAATTTTCTTTTCTTGCTTACAGTCATTCAGTTTGGATTCATTACTCTCTTTGTGGCATCCTTTCCCCTGGCTCCTCTTCTTGCTCTAATGAATAATATCTTGGAGATTCGAGTAGACTCCTGGAAGTTAACCACTCAGTACAGAAGACCCGTGGCTGCAAAAGCACATAGCATAGGAGTGTGGCAAGAAATCTTGAATGGAATGGCCATCTTGTCTGTTGTCACTAATGTAAGTAAGCTAACCATGCCAAACCAACTCTTCCACTTTATTATGGGCTCAGAATGTGCAGATTTAAAAGCCAGCTAATGCTTTATCTCCTTCATCGACACCATTCACTTTATCACGTCACCCTATGGAGATATGGTCCATTTGAGTCTTTTTCTTGTCCATGTGCTGATATGTGGAGCTTTCAATCCATTTTCAATTTCATCTTTCCTTCACATCTTCACCTTCTGTCATTTGGAAATGGCAAAAGCCAATCTGAACCTTAGTGTGGTGGTAGGGGTAGTAGCTTAGAGTACTTTTTATACAATGGAAACAAAATGATACGTCAGTATTTAAAATTAAGTATAATGTAAAGCAGGCTGCTGATCAAGAATTGCTTCTTTTTTAATGCAGAATATTCAGCAGTATCAGATCTGTAGATGTCTTAGGCAGCTAGATTACTCACAGCTATTGCCAAACTAATAAGATACCTGAGCATTTCAAATATCTCAGGTTTATAGTCAAAGTGTGCCAGAAGCCATAGTTGACTTCTTAAATACAGCTGGAGAAAAAGGCTCCCCTTCTTTCATCAAATAACTTAGCTGGTTCCCTCGCTGAATTCACATTCAGCCTTTCTCACATGAATTCAAACCTGCATCTCCATTTTCACCAAGGAGTGTGGTTATCACTGTTAGAGAATGCTATTGCTTTGGGGTGGGAAAGTACCAGGAATTTGTCCTGTATTGCATACAATAGCTGATATTTCCTAAATGAGAAGAAAGGGGAAAATGATTTTTGAAGTCAAAGCATTCTTCTAGAGAAAAGGATTGGCTGCCTCTTAAAATAGCTATTCATATGTTTTGTTCACCAAGTGTTTAAAATTAGCTGGTCCTTATGGCAGAGGATAAAAGCAGGTTCTTTTCCAAGACAATTGTACTCACCCTTACTTTAGTGGATCCTGGGTTATGTAACAGTCACAGTACCAGAAACTTTATGGATCCCCTCACAAATTTTCGTGCTCAATTTTTTCTCCAATTTTATTTTCAGGCTTTTATTGTTGCATTCACATCAGATATGATTCCTCGTTTAGTTTACTACTATGCTTATTCTGAAAATGAAGACTCACCGATGTCTGGATACATAAACAATAGTTTGTCAGTGTTTGAAATCTCAGATTTTCCTGAGAGAAACAAGCCAAAAGAGAATCCAGAAGGTTTTGAACAATGCAGGTTGGTGTTGGTATAATAATAAATATTTTGTGCCCTTGTATATAGCATAAAAAAGCCAGTACAGTTCTGCGTAGCTTACTAGAAATTAAATATCATTTTCATTGTTATGAAATTTATGTCCCTAAAGTTGCAACTTTGGACAAAATTTTCTAAGGATTCTAGGCTGCAGTGCTCTCATGACCATGGAAGTATGGACTCCAAAGGTGGAAATGAGATACGGCCTTGAAAGTCAAAGTATTAGAGGCTTCTAGAAGAATTGGAGAAGAAGTTCAGAGAAGTCCTGAGTAGCATTTATATTTGATTTGGTGAAGACAAAAAAAAATAAAAATCAAGCTAGAGCTCTGTGATGATTTTGCTTTAAAGCCTCAGGTGTCTGTCCTACTTACATGTGAGTGTAGAACACCTGATCGAGACTGTGCTTCCATTAAGCCCTGCATCTGTTCAGTACACAATATGTCAACATCTGTTGCATTACTCTATATTTGTCAATTATTATGTGGTAAGTTCCATCAATCCTGCATTATTTGATTATTGCCTGGAAGAGAAGAGTAAGCTGTATCCAAAATTTCACTTCTCACACATCCTCATTTATAAGCTGAGGCTGTGAGTGAGAATGTTTAAACAAACATAAGATTGAAACAAATTGCAAGGCAACCTTTTCCTGCAAGATGAAACAGACCGTTTAAATCAAGATGAAAAGGTTTCTTAAGTGACAGCTGTATTTGCTTGTAAGTGTCACTGAGCTTGTAGTCTGTCTCAGGCTGAATGTGACATTTCACATTTTTCTGTTCAACAGGTACAGAGACTATCGGTATCCTCCAGATCATGAGAGGAAATATTTACACACGATGCAGTTTTGGCACATTCTTGCTGCCAAGCTGGCATTTATAATTATTATGGAGGTATGTTCCCTATGTTATTCCCCTCTGAAGTTAGAACCTGATAGATTTCCTAGGTAGTTACTAATGTTACAGAAAAACAGAACTGTTGAGAGTATAAAGTAGCCTCTTCCCTAAGTAATACCATATACCCAGGTCCTAAATGGATACTCCAAGTCTAGGTTGTAACTTCAGGAAGTTTACCAACAGTGAAAACAACTGATGAGGAGATTGTAAGAATTGATCTGTATTCAAAATCCTGGAAGTGTTTTGTGGTGATGTGTTTTGGTTAAAAAATAGCTAAGTCAGTAATTTGGATAACTAGCACTGTAGCATTAAGCTGGTGTATTAAAGCCTGCAGAGGAAAAGAATGTACTTGAAGTGTAAAATCCTTATCACTTCATCTACTGTATCTTATCAGTTCTCCCTAGCAGATTGCTATCAGCATGGTATTATGAATTTTTTAAAGAAACACTTGGCATTAGAAAGTGATGCAGAAATCCAGACCCTGATGCTTTCCTCCTGGGCTTCCTACTTCATAAATGGTTTGGAATTAAGGCTTTTATATAATAGGGAATGTTTTAATCTTTTGGCACATCTCAGGTACACATAGTTAGGACAGCCAAATGAAATGTATTCTGTTTAAGAACAAAAAGAAAAGTGGTTTATTTTACGTTACTCTGCTTCCTTCAGTTCATTTTCTCTGGCTTCCTTATTTTATTTATTTACTTATTTATTTATTTTGCAGCATGTTGTATTCATCGTCAAATTCTTTGTAGCTTGGATGATTCCTGATGTACCTGCAGATGTGAAAGCCAAGATAAAACGTGAAAAATATTTGACGCAGAAAATCCTGCATGAGTACGAACTTGAAAAACTGAAGGAGAGACTATGTCAAGGTGATAAACGAGCTACAGAAAAGGAGTTTATTGCCACAGAAGGGAGAATGGAGTTATCCAGAGCAATGTAGTTGAAAAAAACAACTATTTGGGATTCAGCTCATTTTAGCTTCTTTATCTGTGATTTGCTCAGTATGCATCATCTTGAAAGCTGTAGGACAGCTTCAACCTTTGCTTTCGGTCCAAAGATTTTAGACTTTTCTCTAAGAGTCATACTGAGCATTTTAGGTTTAGTGAAAACTATTTAAAGACACGACTTAGGCACCGTTCTCTATGTATGCATCACTTCAAATAATCAATGTAATCTTGTAATCCTACAATTTGGATCCCCAATACAAGGAATGTTAGCGAAAAGGACCCACAAGGTAAGATACAGTCATTACCACCAAGCCCTTACCCTGTATCCCAGCTGAATGAGAAAGATATCCCAGAGGACTTCTGCTGTGGAAAATGCTGAGCATTACCTTATGATATGAATCTTTAAAAGCAGAAAGCACTCTTGATGGAAGAGTTGGGATAGGGTTTTAGGGCATTTTTGTATCCACTGTGTTTTCTGAAGTGTTTCTTCCTGGCTTGTGACGTCTGTACTCTTTTTTAGAAGGAAATAGGTTTTTAAAGATATACCAGTTTAATTCCCTTTGGAATTATTTTAAGGCACAGAGTTCAGGTAATACTTACTAATGAAGGAAAAATACCCACTGTAATTTATTTTCATTAAGCTATGCCTGCAATAGAGTTTGCTCTTTAAATGCAGATACTGTGGAATCATCTAATTAATTATCTAAAAGATGTATATGATTTGGAGAAATACAGCTAAATTTATTTCTCCATCGCAAAACTTGCCATTGGAAGAACATGCTTGACGTAAGTTTTGGGCCAAGCTGCTCCTTTGGTTGGATTCTTCCCATCTTTGTGAATGCCAACTAAGGCCTTAAAATCACATGCCCATACCGTGTGCTGTGGAGCGCGGCTTCAGACCACAGCAGGTTGGGAGTTGGGCCTCTATGTTAATTGATCAAACCACGTGATTGTATAGAAAATAAGATTCATATTCAGATGATTTTAGGAATGCCAAGTACTCTATGTTTACGTTGTTATTGTCCTTATACATAGGAGCTTTTCTTTTTAATCTGCAAGAGGGAATTTCTTTTGTTCTGTCATGGGGCCTTTCTACAAAGTTATAGAATCTGTAAGTAGGTAAATAACTACTTGTGTATAGGAGCTACCAGCTGTTTATGAATGTGCCCTTGTTTTATAATTTTAAGCAGTTATGCATTTTTATGATTTTGCTGTATATTTAAAACATATCAACACTTCCACACTTAGTGCCTTGTTTATTTGCATTTGGCAAAAGATGTGAAAACAATCACTATGTGGAAATGAGCATTTCCAAAGTGTGCTTGCAGGCATCATGATACTGTGAACCTGCACACAACTGTAGTGTTAGCCACACAATGCCTGCCTTGGCACACTTGTCTTTGTTAGTGCTATGCAAACCATTCATGCCCAACTGACCATACCTAGACTGCTTGGATCAGCTAGCACCAGGCTGTTGAGTTCTCTAGTGTGCAAGTACACTGGCTAGAGAAATGAGAGATTGTAATATATTTGCACTTTGATTATACTTCCTTGCAAGTATACAAAAAAAAAGTTGGATTTGAATGCCATAGCAGCCAATGATGTACTGTTTACAAGATCCACAACCTACGGTTTCCATTTTTTTGTTTCAACAGACCTAGCCAATTTTGTCTAGTAACCTTAATGTTGTAATCAGTGTCTTGGGTGGAACTGTAGTTACTAGGAAAAGTTCTAACACGGAAGTGCCTACCTCGAGCAAACATTGCATGGTTTGGCTGCCAGTCAAGGAGTTGAAGCAGATGTACATTTCTCTCCATTTCTGTAAGTTATTCAGCTTATTCTGTAAGTTTGCTTAGTAGATCAAGCACGTTGGCAGTTCATGTTTGTGATGAACTGTGTTCTTACATATTCAGATAGATTTGAAATAATGGATTTACTGCAGGAATGCATGTATGAATAAGCTAGTTCTGCTGCTTAATACGTAAGCCAAAGAAAAATATCAGTCACCATGATTATGTAAGTGACACCAGAACTTATATACTGCAAGCACTTTGCTGCTTCTTACATATGTACTGTTAATTAAACTGCTTAATTTAGATTTCATGCTTCTGTTTTCTCCTGTTAGCAAAGCAAACTGTTGCTTCAAATAGTAAAGTGATGAGATGCAAAGTGATACTTTAGTGCAAAATATGCACATCTGCCTGAAACTGAAAAAAAGTTGAAAATTCAGCTTTGGATTCCTGCGTATGGAACATTAGCTTCTTTAGGTCCTATAATGAATAAAGTGTCCTTTCAAGTTACTGTACTTGAAAAGTTGTCAACAAAATAGCTGTCTTGTGAATGATTCTTGCCATTTAAAAGCAAGATTAAGAACAACAAGGAAATTCCTGAGTTCAGGATACAGCACTGGTATGCAGAAGCCCCATGCAAAGACCCTGAATTTGATTTCATGCTTGGCCTCCACTTCGTGCTTCTTCCGAATGCGTTTTTTGACATCACTTCCTATTTGATGCTATAGAAATACGTTTTGTAAAAATGAAAAAATCTGGGACCTGCTTTTTAAAATATATGCAACTGAAGGAATCTATCCTTATGCTCCATAGCATTACTTCATAGTATAATAGAAAACTGTTGCCAAGAATAAGTGTTGTCATATTAAAGCAAACGTCACAAAGAAATCCTATGCCTGTTTGTGTAACAGTTTGCCTTTGCTTGCCATTCAGCAGTGTTTTGGCAAAAGCTCATTGGCACACTTAGAAGGATTATAATGGTCCAAGTACCTGCTTCCTGAAGCACTCTTGAAAAGTGGCAAAAACAAAAATGGTCTGGTCAGTTTGAGGATGTAGTTATTGTTAAAACATTGGGTTTTGAGATGGTCAAAATACGCATCTAAAAGTGTCCTTTGACCAAAGGGAAGTTACTTCCACATTGGAACTGCAGCAAGTAAAGCTACAGCAGATTGCATCATTAGAATTAGTGAAAAAAAGAAAATTGGCCTTTCAAGTGTCATACAATCAGGGATTATTGTTTTTCCAGTTGAAATCTAGTATTTATATGTTAGATTGATATGATCTGAGCAAATGACTGCAAAATGAGTGCTACTACAAAACACTATACTTGTTGTTTTTTTTCTAGAAGATACTATTTTTAGTTTTTTATGTAATACTATCAGCTGGAGACAGTGGGAAAGAATGAAAATCCATGGACTTCTGTACTGTTCTGTGTGTTCTGCTTGTTCTGACTCATACTGTCGTGTAATCAGTGGCATTTCTGTCTGCTACGTATGTTGCTGGTATATATGATACACTAATGTTGGAATAATTTTTTTAAACATTGCATTCAGCTAACTTATATATGTACATTTAATAACCTGGCAAATAAAGCAGTGTTTATTTTTAATACGCTGTCAACTTGTTTGTGAAGATGCCAAGAATTCTTCAAGTTAAATGCCCAGAGAGCCTCACAGAGAAAAATATTTGTACAGATTTCTGCAGCTCAACATGTGGGATATTTGGGTGCTGCATATGAATTTCCTATAGTAGTAATTTCAGTAGCCTGAGTAAGAAACTTGCTAAGAAAACCTACATCTGGCCACCATCTGAAACGATGACCACACTGTGTAATTTTGTTGCCTTACATTTCCTTAAGAAGCAAGGGAAACGTGTGCTGAATTCCACATGCATTGTAAGCAGTGCACATCAACTGTGATGGAATGAGTATATGATACCTTATGAGTGAACTTAGCTTTGAAAGTTTCTCGTGTTAGAAGGCCATAATATAGTGAAAAAGATTCAGCCTACAGGGCAAACAGTATATCAACATAGAATCATTAAGGTTGGAAAAGATCTCTGATCCAAGTTCAACTCCATCCCCTCCTCACCATGCTTGTTGACTATGTCCTTCAGTGCCACATCTCCATGGTTCTGGAACACCTTTGGGGATGGTGACACATGTAACCCCATTCACAGGTAGAATCATGGAGGAAAAAAACAGCAAGCCTCAAAAGAAATTATAACCCAAAGTTTGAAATCTGCATATTTCATCTCAGATGTAACCAGAGCTAGAGGTAGAATGACAGGTCACTAAGTGGACCACCCTGTGGTTTGGCAAAGAGATTGGATAAAGGGAGTGCAAATACAGCCCTGCCAAAGGACTTGCTTAAATGTGAAATGCTTCCTTCCCTAAACAGATGGAAAGAAGTAAAGGGAAAAAGTGATCATTACCGTATTAATGCTTCAAATAATCGAGAAATTATTTGGTAATTAATTTGTAATGACACTTTCTTGTCTGTCTGCCCACATGCCCAGGGTCATCACTCTGCAGCATAGTCCTGGAATCCTTGGAAAGGAATAGCTATATTAAATCTTGTTCTGGTTTTAAACATCATTTGTCTCTTCCCCACACTTACATCATTCAGATGCAGCTCAGGAAGTTTTTTTTTTTTTTTTTACATAAGCATGTGTACTGAGAAATGTGCAGGGAGCTGAGTAGGATGTGAAATTCAGCCTCCATATCAATTTTTGGAAGACACATATGCACATTCCCTTCGCAACGATTAGTGACTATGCTTTCTCAGTCAGAAATGAGTCAATCTAAAACATTTAGTAAGTGTCTAACTCCTTGTAATTCCTCTTTTAACTCCTCAGCAAAGCAGTGCTGTTAAGCAGTCAGAAGCACATTTTGTGTTCCAAGTGCTGGCTGTCTGAGCCTTGTTGTCTGGTGGCCTGAAGGCCCACAGCTATTACTTAGCAACACTACGTGGTAGAGCTACAGTCGCTGCCAAAATTGAATAGAAACACCAGCAACTCTGTGGTCAAATGTTGCATATCTATCCAGCCTAAGTAAGAATAAAGATAGAGATATAAACTCAGCTGGCTTCTCAAGATATTACGTAGTTTAATCAGAAACATTCATTGTAGGTGGTAATAAAGATATTAAACTACTCTTTTTTCCCTGGTATCAGGCTCTGATCCGATTGCATGCAGTCCAAAGGCAGAGCAATTGCTGTATAACATCATGGGGTTACTTCTCTGAGTGATGCCTTTAGTCAGCCAGCCTGAAACTGCTGTGCTTAAGGACCAAACAAGAAATGGTGGGACAATTAAAGTAAAAGCAACTGTTTTCAACAGAATAGCTAAGGAACTGTTAATTAGATCTACAAGTTCAAGAATTATAAGCAGAGCTGTAAATACATAAAGGACCTGTTTCTGTTTATGTATGTGTGCCTGTAAAAGTGGGTCAAGAGATTTGCATAAATACAGCTCACCACATGATAGAAATCATTAATTATGTGACCAGCAGAACCAGTAGCGCAGTACTGTAAGATGTCAAGACTTCGCACTGCTGTAAATAAAGTACTAGTGCTTCACAAGCAAAAAGCATTTCCAGCTTTCCCCTTTCATACAGAATTCCACTGTGCCATGACAGCTTTTTTGACTTCCTCAGAAGTGGCAGTACTACTAAACAGTGAATTCTATGTGCCAGGTAACACTTTCACTCATTTGCTAGCAGAGACTTCCTTTCATGGGGTTACAGTCAGAAGGATTAGTGCAGTGGAAAAGCAAGACAGGAGTAGCAAAAGGACAAACAGAACAGGAATGGTTGCCCATCTCTGAGGGCCTAGGCTTGCAGGGAAAAACTCCGTGAGAGAGGGATCTCCAACCAGAGCTCCTTCTCTAGTGGCAGTCAGCCCTTAAATGGAGTCTAAGAGAGGAGCAGCCAGGGTCCACCTTCCAGTCACACAGCTGCATTGCCTTCACCTGTGTTGCCAGGGCTGACCCAGTCCTTTCCCCAGGTGGTCGCTCCGTGGTTCAAGCCGTGACTCAACAGTTACCGTACACATGGGCTTCTCTCTCTCAAATAGAGAAGGCTGCAGGGTGACTTCATTGCAGCCTTCCAGTACCTAAAGGGAGCCTATAAAACAGGAGGGGAGTCAACTCTTTGAAAGGGCAGGAAAATAGTAGGACAAAGGGAAATGGTTTAAAGTTGAGGGAGGGGAGATTTAGGTTGGATGTCAGGGGTAGTTCTTTACTATGAGAGTGGTGAGGTGCTGGAACAGCTGCCCAGAGAGGTTGTAGATACCCCATCCCTAGAGGTGTTCAAGTCCAGGTCAGATGGGGCCCTGGGCAGCCTGGTCTAGTATTAAATGGAGAGGTTGGTGGCCCTGCATGTGGCAGGGGGGCTGGAGATTCAAGATCATTGAGGTCCCGTCCAACCCAAGCCATTCTATGATTCTATGAAATAGAATTTCTCAAGAAATACTCCTTGTATTTCAGCCAAGAACCAAACCATCCTTTATTAATGATGCTTTCTGGCACTTCAGTGCCTCTGTACCTGGTGTGTGTATGTTCAGGCCAGAGAAACATTGAAAGATGTCAGGTGTGGCATGGTGTTATCTTGGGGAAAAGTATACTTTCCATCCCTCTGCTTTTTTCCTTTTTTTTTTTTTTTTTTTTTTTTTTTTTTTTTTTGAGACAGCCTTCTACACCATCATAAGGCGATTTTTTACGAAGATTTATCAATGGAAAAGTCTCATGCTCTGAGAGCAGGAACACTGAGATTCTGTGTGTGTTATGGTACACTTATAAACTGCTCAGAGCCTTTTCTTTATGCTTTTGCTGGGTATCCATGTGAAAATAGAAAGTTACTGGTTACTTTTTTATTGGCTACTATTTTTATTGGCAGTTAAGACAGGAACTGAAATGAAGTATCCAAGAGGTTGATTCAATGAAAAGGGAAAAGCAGGCTTCGTTCTACTTTTGCAGCTGGAAGAAATCAAACGCAAAGGAAGGTTTTGGAGCATTTGCTTCACTTTCAGTGCAAGGATAAACTCTGCTCCAAACATCAATCAAGACACCTCCCTGTGTTCTGGGCACCCCCTATTCTCCTGCACACACCTCCACGTATCAGTGATGGATTCACACAGCCTCCTTAAGGTATTTTGCCTCACTGCTGGGCACAAGGACAGATTGCTTCATGCGTATGGTGAGGATGGGGCAAATGCCAAGCCAGGTAACTTCAGTTTTGTTTGTGGAGAAAACAGTTACAACTTCCTAGAGGGTCATCATGGCAAGTTACTTAACTCAGAAACAAGTGCCA